TTTGGCGGCAAGAATCGGAGCCACTTGGGCTTGTCTAGTTGCTCACATTTGTCAAATGCATTGAGCCGGGCATATGTACCTCGCCATGTCTTGCTTTTCCCTTTTTTACGAACTGCTCGAAGCTGCGTGCAACCTGCAAAAGCACGCCGCGCAATGTAAAGCAGGGATGGTGGGATGCAGACTTCTTGCAGCGAGGTACACTTGAGAAAGGCTTCTTGCTCAATGATTCGTAAATTTCGGGGAAGGCTGAGTTGCTGCAGCTGTGAGCAGTGTGCAAAGGTTGAACCCAAAATTTCAATGACGTCCGTTTGGGACAAATCAACAGTTTGCAGCTGCTGGCAGCTCACACAGGCGGCCGATCCTATCCTGTTAAAATCTGGCGGCAGGAAGAGCGCGACAATGCCTGCTTCCAGGAAGCAGCAGTCGGGCAAGCATCGGTTCGGATATGCAGGACTACACCCTGACATACCCAAGTTGAGGTGACGCAGGGCCGTGCATCCTTGAAACACTCGAGGCCGCAATTGTGCTTGGGGGGCTAGTATATTGCCAGGGCATTGAGTCGCGCCTATTTGTGTTAGGGAGCAGCACTCCTCAAAGACCTTAGCGCCGAAATGTTTGCAGCCAGGGGCTGTCACTACTCGTAGGACCTGGCATCGGCTAAAGGCGCCGTGCAGCAGGCTAACGACCGTTTCTGGCAGGCCGACTACTTGCAGCTGTCGACAACTCCTCCACGCAGCTTCTCCTACAATCCGAATACCGTTCTCGACTATGGTGGGATTTTATCATTCCTACCACGCGGCACTCGGATAGCCTTGGCTTCCCCTTTGAGTTGCCCTTTGTGCGCTGCTTCTACAAAACATGGTTGAGCAATCACATAGTAGCAATGGTTGGCCCTCAGTTTACTCTGTATGGGGTCTGCTAGGACCTGGTGGGTGTCTGTTTGCACAAATTGCAATTCACACCCGAGGGTGCTATTGCATCCCAAGTAGGGGAGCTCTGTTAATACGGCATTTTCGAAACCCCGAAGGCATGTGCATTCGGATCTACTGCTATGGGAAGCTCCTCACCTGCCAGTGTAATGAGTGTTAGGGGCTGCGCCAACGGCCCTTCCTTGCTGCCTCGAGGGCTGGGTCCAGGCGCATCAGCTGTCATGCTCCGCTCTTGCGATTCACTGGCTTGAGCCCCTAGAAATGCAGGGCAGGAATGTTTAGTTTCGACCGGCCCACGTCAGTTGCCCTTCACTCCCTCAGCTTATGGAATGCATCTATGTATGGACTGTAAGGTGCACCAGGGTGAGCGCTTACCTGGCTGGACCCGAGCTAAGGCTCGCACCCAGACTAGATGGATTACAGGAAGGCCACAAACTGGAATGTCCAGACAGGATTACGTCAGGCTAGACCAGAGACATATCCCGTGTCCGGGATCATGTGCAGCCATGGCGGCCATCTCATTTCTGGGCATATAGCGAAGGCATTTTCTTCCGCGTAGACCCCACGCCATTTGTGCCAGCCTGGCAACTTGACAAGTCTCCTGAGCGAGGGTGGTATGGCAAGTTCTGGCAGGACTGCACAGTTCATGAAGAAGGCCTTGACTCTAATGGTGTGGAGAGTCGGCGGGAGACTAACTTCTTTGAGGCTCGCGCAGTGCACAAAGGTAAATTCTTGAATCTCTTCAATTTGTGTGTTGGAAAGGTCAACTTGCTTGAGCAGGTGGCAATTGTCACAAGCGTGTGCTCCTATGACTGCGAAATCCTGCGTGAGTGTGAGTGTGGTTATCCCTGTAGAGCTGAGGCAACCTAGGGCCAAGTCGCTGGCAGTGGTTTGCGATGGCAGCTCGCTTGGGAAGGGAATCTCTCGCAGGGTAAATTCAGCAAGGTTGATACAGCCTCGAAAGAGGTAATGTCCAAACTTGGTGGTGCTGCTAAACTGGTTGGCAACTCCTTCAGCAGCATATACCCACTGCAAAGAACAGCGCTCCGCAAAGGCTTTGTAGCCAAACTCCCGGCAACCAGGGGCAGTGACACTGTTGAGCAGTTTACAATTTCTAAATGCGTTGTCAGAAATGCCAACGACTGTTGCCGGCAGTTTGACGATTCGGAGCTGTCGGCACGATTGCCACGCTTCTGGGCCGATAAGTCTAATAACTGACTCAATGCTGACATGACGTAGGCGTGGCACTCCTGCGAACGCCCCTTCTGGGACTACTCCCTCTGGGTTCATGGGGACGTGGACAGCAAGCGGTATGTTGTAGATGGGACACCCTTCTAGGAGTTCCTGCGAGGGTAGGACTTCGCTGCAATCCTTAAAGATGATGCAGTATTCCATACTCTGTTGCAGTTTGTCCCAAATCGGGTCCTCTAGATAGGTCTGTGTGGCCATGTGCAAAAATTCAATTGAACACCCAAACACTTTGAGGTCAGTCACTGAGACAAGATAATCCATAACATGATCCTCAAGGTCCTCAAATCGGTCGAACTTCGCAATGCTGAGAGAGACATTTATTGTCGCGCCCGAAAGGGCAGTTAGCACCAAGCGGCAGTCCATAACCGGCTCCCTTTCAGGGGGGGTGCTGGCTCCGGATGATTCGGGTGACCTACCTACAGTCGCCATTTGAGCCGATAACTTCCGACTGCG